GCACTATACTACCTGTACTTAGATATTATATAACGTTAGGTATTTTAAGTTAAAAAAGTTCACCTTTAATCGACCGAATAGTAAATATAACTAAACTACTAATATGCAAAAGCAGTTAAACAATAGATAAGAAGGAAGGGGCACATATTTTACCAAATTGAAATTAACCAAGTAGATGATTTTAGAGAATTTGTACAAACAAGAGGCAATAAACTAATAACCAACGACCGATAACAACAAGAATTTTCAATTAAATTCCACTTGTTGTTCTTAGCAGTTATAATCTTATGAATGGTACAAATATATATAATTTTAAGTTAAAAAGGTAAAAGATATTCATTTTGTACACAAAAATGAGAAATATTTACTAAAGCTTGATTGAAATATGTATTTTTTAATACCATTATTTCACACAATGTAAAATAAGTATATCCACAATATTTGGGTGATATTTCTAGTTATATCTTTTTTAACATAAAATTCCAACCATACTAATAAGCAGTCAAGCAGACAGAAAAATAGGGAAAGAAGGAACCAACTCTAATGTAATGATTTTTCACGATTTTTGAGTTGAGAATACAAGGAAATTCCTCGGAATTTTTTATTGATTTTACATTTCTGAACTAAGAACCCTTTGCGTTTCATTTATCTTTCACAAGAATTTTCCACCCATGTTGAGAAAAATAGGTATTTCCTATAGTTTGTATGTAATATCTTTTATTAAATGCGACGTTTTAGGGGTTCCCCAAATTGATTCGCTTGTCTAGGTATACAGGCTTCTTCAAACTGAATGGTACATTAAACGTAAAACCAAGCGTGTAAGAGATCTAAAAATTATTATTGAGGTTATTGAGGATGATCTTTTTGACTAAAATAATTTCACCTGTTAGTCGTTTCCGGTTATACCGGAAGTTGATGCCAACTTTGTTATTTTAAAGGAATGGTATATTTTTTAAGATGAATTCGTATGAAACACAAAATTTTAAAGAACTTTGATAACCAATTTATATGCCAACGATGAATAATTTCTAAGATAATTTAACTTATAGAAAAAAATCGCTACTACAACCCAAATTATAAAAAATCGTAACTTTCACAAAAAAAGACCTTTTTATAGTCATGGTCGTGTATTATGGCTAATGTTAAACCAAAATTGAGCTTCATAATTTATACTGGGCGTTAAGAAAAAAATCCAAAGTTTAGAAACTTCAAACACGAATAATTCGTTTTTTCAAACGGCTGCTACCATATTTTATTTTGTCGTTCGATTCCCCTTTTAATCCTCTTTCGATCCATGTAGATGTTCTATAGTGCTTAATTTGAAAATTATTTGCAATTCACATAAATAATTGCATGTTTAATTATTTACTGTATTATACAAGTCATCTCTGTAAAATTTATCCTATGTACTTATGTTTCTATAATAAATCGTTTGTACAATTGTATAAGGTAGCCGATGATTTCAGTTTTTTGCCGGCCTTTTATATCCGTATCTGATCCCTTCTTACAAAGCTATAAACAATCACGGAGTAATAAAATGAGTTCTTGGAGAAATATTAATATAATACATTAAAAGGATATTAAACAAACATAAAAGAGTAAAATAACTGGAAGATTATAAAATATAAAAATTAAATAGGTACACAGGGTGGATCTTAACACTATATGGAATTTACACGTAATTAATTAATTAATGCATTATTTTCTTACTTGAATGAAAATTCTATTAATATATTGATTCTATTGCTTAATTTTAATATTTTATTTCTTTAAAAGCATCATTTTGTATTTTTCGGATGTATTTACCATTTATTATGACTGAATTGTGGGTGCAATGTGTTGCCTATATCATGTATATTTATATGTACGTATAAGATAATAAGTCAATCTACAGAGAATTGCACAAACCTGTCTTAATTCTGACTCATCGTCAGTTGTTTCCTAACTAGACATCACAATAATATACAATTTACAGCGTTTATTAGTCTGATTTATTTAATTGTCGTTATCTCTTTAAGATCTCAATCTAAAAATATCTTACTTGTGTGTTGTTTAAAAATTTTAAACTTCAAACACGAAGCTAAACCACACACGTTTGCCAGTCGTAACAACCGCTTGACCATTGAAAAGTACTAATAATCCACATACATACATATATAGATAATATATATACACGTATAGTAGTCCGTTACGCCAAATTTAAATTGAACTACGTAAAATATATACTTGTTTTATGAATGGAAACTCATTTTTAACGGAGAACCGTATCCTATTCCAAATAACAACTCTCCTAATTTTAGGAGAAACTGAATTCCCTCCCCCCAATTTTTGCTGAATCTGCCCTTCTAACACAAATTTTCTCAGGATAATTGGAGAATGAAGAAGTGAAATTATTCATTCACTCCTTGGCAATTGAGATTGGTTTTGTTGCAGTGTTTTATAGTAAATACGCCACTTTATTGAATCGAGTATTTCTTATTATTATTACAATATATTTCAAGCAAATAAATTCACAAGGAGCACGTTTACGTACTAACGCAATAGCGTGGAGTCACTTAAAACTTACTCACGTTTACATCGCTCACGTTATCATTTCCCTAAAGCTAGAACAACCCATATCCTTCACTATTTCCGAACAGTAATCTAACCTAGGTTTACCTCTACCCCTCCTAACTTCCGTTTCTGCGTCTAATATGTCTCTGACTAACCTTTATGCCTGAGAAGGTGTCCTACTAACCTATCCCACCTATTTCTTTTTGACTTCGATACAGTCCTCTGTTGCCTTACTCTTCCTAGTACCTCTTCATTTCTAACCTTCTCTATCCACGGTGTCCTCATCTTTCACCTATAACACAACATTTGAAACGCTTCTAACCTTTTCATTTCCGCCGCACCCACTGTCCATGTTTCGCACCCGTACAAAGCGGTGTTCCAAACATACACTTTTAACAACCTTTCTCGAATTTCTAAATTAATCGTTCGCGAGAATAGAACTGCCTTCTTTTCATTGAAGGCGACTCAACCCTGGGCTATTCTCTGCTTTATATCCCCACTATTCCTTCCGTCTTGACTTAATCGGCCACTTCTAATTTTTCGTCTCCTATTCATTCATTATGTTCGCTCTTTCCCTACTTTTCCTTTCCTTGCATACCAGTATTTTTGTTTTACTTTACTTATTTTAATACAGTACTGTTTTGTCAATACCGCTTCCATTTTATTTAAAATTATCCATAACTCCTTGCCAGATGTTATATCATCTGGAAATCTAAGCATACTAATATTTTGCCCCTGTATATCTATCCCTAGTGTAGTCTTTAATGATGTTGAACGTACGAATGAGTCATTTAAAACTAACGTACCAACGCAGACGTCTACGGGATAAGTGCTCTTACGCAACACTAATAACTGTCTAATATAACAGGTCAATTGAAAAGTCCCCGGCCTAAAATAGTAAAACACATTTTTTTTGCAAAATTCGTTTTTTTTATTCAACATAATTCCCTTCAAGGGTGATACACTGATTATAGCGATCCTCCAACTTTTCGATACCATTTTTGTAGTACGATTTGTCCTTTGCTTCAAAATAGGCCTCAGTTTCGGCGATCACCTCTTCATTCGACGAAAATTTTTTCCCAACGAGCATTCTTTTGAGATCTGAGAACAGGAAGTAGTCGCTGGGGGCCAGATCTGGAGAATACGGTGGATGCGGAAGCAATTCGAAGCCCAATTCATGAATTTTTGCCATCGTTTTCACTGACTTGTGAGACGGTGCATTGTCTTGGTGAAGCAGGACTTTCTTTTTCTGCAAATGCGGTCGTTTCTCGGCGATTTCGTCCTTCAAACGGTCCAATAACGCTATGTAATAGTCGCTGTTGATGGTCCTTCCTTTTTCAAGGTAGTCAATGAAAATTATTCCACGCGCATCCCAAAATACAGACGCCATAACCTTGCCAGCCGACTGTTGCGTTTTTGCACGCTTTGGAGCGGGTTCATCGTGTGCAGTCCACTCCGATGACTGTCGATTGGACTTCGGAGTGAAATGATGGAGCCATGTTTCATCCATTGTCACATATCGACGCAAAAACTCGGGTTTATTACGCGTGATCATCTTCAAACACTGCTCTGAATCATCAACTCGTCGTTGTTTTTGGTCAAAAGTGAGCTCGCGCGGCACCCACTTTGCACAGAGCTTTCTCATACCCAAATATTCGTGAATGATGTGATGTATACGTTCCGTTGATATCTGTAGAGTGTCTGCTATTTCATTCAATTTCAATTTACGGTCATTCAAAATCATTTTGTGGATTTTTTTAATGTTTTCGTCCGTAACAGCCTCTTTTGGGCGTCCACTGCGTTCACCGTCTTCGGTGCTCATTTCACCACGTCTAAACTTAGCATACCAATCCTTGATGGTTGATTTTCCTGGGGCAGTGTCCGGAAATTCGTTATCAAGCCAAGTTTTTGCTTCAACTGTATTTTTTCCCTTCAAAAAGCAATATTTTATCAACACGCGAAATTCCTTTTTATCCATTTTTTTCACAATAACAAAAGTTGCTTCACTAAAAATGCTATAATTCACAAACTAATGATCCGACAGCCGTCAAATTTATAGACGCGTCTTTTGAAGGTTAGAACTAACTGAAAATCATATGGATTTAGTTCTGGTGCCGCCATCTATGTGTCAGGCCGGGGACTTTTCAATTGACCCTAGTATAAAGCGAAAACAAAAATTAGTATGTGCAAGTCATGTTCGGGACAAAAACCTTGATAACTTTAAGTTACTTTTCCAGTAAGAACATATAAAATTGATAAAGTGAAATATTTACTAGTTAATGTCGCCGTCCAACAGAAAGTAACGGCTCATCTGGAAAATCCTGAACAAAAAGCTAGTGAATTCGAAATAGTAAATCTTAAACTTTTCTATTACCCTTTTTATAATTTTTGTCACTTATGTAAATACAATAATGTGAATAATTAATTAAATGATATGATTATTTCAGATGCCGCTGCAGAGCTCGAAGATTTTATTCTAGAAGATGAATTAGTCATATCATTTCAAAATCTTAAGGCTCGGAAACGAACGAAGGCATCTGTTGAAACTTTGTTTGCAGCAGATTTTCCAGGATCTCGACAAAAACTAGTTCTCATGCTCGATCGCAGGCACAAAAGAGGTAAATTATTTTATATTTAAGACAATATTCAATGTATTTTTATAACAGGAAAAGAATAATTAATTTCAATGAATAGAAATACAAAACTTTTCTCTCCGTTTGTTTAGTTATTGTGGAAACAGTAGAAAATGGGAAGAATCGTGTTCAATACTTTACAATCGATTCATTAGAAGACAATACTCACATAAATTCTTTAATTTTTGTGGTTAATCAAAAGCAACCCGGAGCTCACATAACGTTGGTGCTTAACTGTCTTTCTTATGGAAAAATAGCAACCCCTAAAGCCATGAAAGACATGTATTTTTCAATGGATGATCCGTCAATACAAGTCGTAAGTATAGAAACCAACTTGGATTATTTTTACAAACTTTATGAATAAGATGAAATCGTTATGTTATATTGGATCGTTAGGCACATATTAATTGAATATAAAATTATAATTAAGTATAATTAACGTCATAAAATAGTCCGAAACTACCTCCAAAGAACGTCTTTGTGTAGGGGTGTATGAAACAGCGCGTGTTCAAACGCCGATGTACTGTTCGTTTCAAGAAGTTAGAGATATGCATCTTCCCCTTATTAGGATGCGCCGTAGCATAATTCCAAATTCAATCATATTTGTCTGCGTAGCTCATTTCCCCACCGATCATCGAGCGAGAATTAGACAAAAGTGTACAGTACTATTTGCAAAATTATTTAAATTGCCTCGTTAAATTTTAAGAATATGCTTTATTTAAAAGCATATTTAGACAAAAATAATAACAAGTGAATTAACTTAGCTTTCTACACACTTATAAAACCTTTGCTTTGTTTTCTATTGTTAATTTATATACATTTTTGTTAATTAACACAACTGCTAAACATTTTCGTCTAGTACTATACAGTTCTAGCCGATCTCCTAAGACTATTTCTGTCTTGCTCACGCCTAGTGTGTATTCTTTCTATCTTCGCGCAGATTTCTTCAAGGTCACAATTCTAACAAATTGAAATAGACTGTACAACGCTAGTGATGTGTAGGACCATGTGATGATTGCTACAAATAAAATTCGTCAAATCTCTGACGCTTTTGCGCGAATGAGAAAAAATTTTTGGTAGGCGTCTTGAAGCCTGAGCAAGTATTGTAGTGTACGTTTATTAATTGATGTTTTCGGACCCAATAACGCGGCGATAAGTAAGCGGTAGGTTGTTGTTTATATTTACATTAGTAGTTGGACAACCAGCATTGTTTAGTTTACATTCCACCTATGTGTAACTGCTGCTAGGTTCTCTAAGTATTCTTTCCACCTGTCTGCCTTTTCCTCATTTTCTATCAGAATGACCCCTACCTCGTTTCTTATATTATTAGTACTGTACCCTACTTCTCTAAAATTCCTTTTAATTATATTGTAAGCCTCATCCGTTTTACCTACTTCAAAATTTTTTTCTACTTCTTTACACCTCATATCAATCCACTATTCCTTAGCTGCTCTACAGAAATTATGACAACAGTACTATAATATTTATTCACATCTGGAGTGCCAGGAGTTGATCAGTAGTGTCAGTAATAATCAAGGATACCTATATTGAATTTGCTGTACTACAATATAGGTCATGTATTTACTTGATTAGTAATTTTATTAATTCATTGCTGACTAATGTAAATAGAATAAATTGAGTAATATTTTTTGTTCTTGATTAAAATATTTTTAAAGATATCAGCAATTACAGAATGTGACAAAACAAAAAATGATTAAAGGTGAAAGTGTTAGATTTTGAAACTTCAACTAAACGAACCCCGAATTCCACGTCAGTGAAGAGAGAGACTTTTCAATCTGAAGATCCAGAGGGGCAACTGATTCATATGAATTCACGACCCCAAAAGAGTTTTTTAGAAAATTGTTCTTTGATATATTTAACCAACTTATATCATCTCTAAAAAGTAGATTCGAAAATGATTCAGTCCATTTTCAAATGAACGATTTGCAGTGAGATATCTTAGACATATCCCTAATCAAAACGAAATTTTCACCTTTGACTTATAGCTCGGAAATAAAAAAAATAAGACCTTAGTTCTTGGACATATAAATCGATAGCCTTTATGGCATTTCATGCATCTTTTGTAGTTATTCTACCGTGCACAAAAATTGTGGAGCTTATTATTTTTTCGTACAGATTTCAACATTATCCTTAGAAATCCTGAGAAAATGTAACTATACTTTAAAAATCCTATGACAAATTTGGTTTTATGCTTAATGCACTTACTTAATTACTTAATTTTGATTTTTGTACATCCTAATGAAATCCATAAAAGTACATCTTTTTACGCGTTTTAATTTTTCAAGATCCACACGATTCTAAATTCATACGCACTTTTTATAAAACTATCCTGTAATCTATTATCAAAATTGTTCTGTTAACATTTCTCTAAGAAGAGTATGTATTTCAGCTTTTTCCGTTAAATAAATAAGACAATTCAAGTTAATTTGCAATTTACAGGAACATTTACCATGAAAATTACTCACCAGAACGATTTTAAAATATGCAGTTAGAACTATATGCAACTCAAACGACAATTTTATGCATTGTATTCGATTTATACGTAAAAATAAAACTTGTAACAACCATTTCTGAAAGTTGCCTTTCATCTTAGTCCTGTGTGAACAACGAAGAAAAGGTCTCAGAATGTATTGATTAATTTACTATAGAACAAGAAGCCATATTAAACAACAGTTCTACAAACAGAAAAGTTATATGTATACAGTTAAAATTCGATGGCTTCCGTCAATAAAACGCACGTTTTCAATAAAACGTACAAGAAGTGTTTATATTTGTTTGCCACTTATTTGTCATGTTTCGTAGGTATGACAATTATTGTAAAATTGGAAAATACTTCGTACATTTATTATGAGTATTATTAAATTTAAAATCATTTTACTGAATTTAATGTTCGATATACACCTTAAAATTCCGGAGCCCAAAAGCAACATTACAATGAGGAGGAAGGTTTCTAATACCTAGATTCTTATTGTTAAGAGCAAGAAAAGTTTCTCAATATTGTTACTTACAAGTATTGACATACATGATAATCAGTACATTGATACCCAACGTCTCTCGAGTCACTCGATGGTCGGCAACCTTTGTACTAGACGCCGAGGCTAATGAAGTATACCCTGAGTGAGAGCCAGTCAAACTCGGCTCTTTTGACTCTCGAGTGCTCCTTAGGTATAACCAAGGAGCTCCTTATTGCTCCTGCAAATGCGAGTGAGATGATTCTTTCCTTTTTTTATACCTTCCATTTCTTAGGTTAGTCCCCTCTTCCATAGCCGAACCCAATAGTATTGCGAACGTAGTCCGGTATGTTTAGGGTTGCCACCCGTATTTTATTATAAAGTATTGTACCCTATTTCGACTGTGCGTACGTTATATTAAGGTCTTAAGTAAACATCGTAATTTTGTAAGCGATTATTCGAAATTTAGAGTATTTTTACATCAGTAATATTGCACAATACAATATTTTTGAGAATGTTTCTATGTTTCTGAACGCTAGTTTCATTGACAATGCCATATTTATAGAACAACCTGATTTCCCAAATCGGTTCAAAGCAGTGTCACTTTTGCTGTCCGTTCCGGCCACCTCAGCATTTACAGAAAGAGTGTTCTCTGTTATGAACGCAAAGTGGCGGGACGACAGGAATAAAACTTCATTAAAACTAATTAAAAATGAACTTTTAGTTTACTTAAATCTTTGTTTGCCATGTTTAGAGGCTTTTTAATGTATTTAAGAGCGACAGCAATTTGTTACTGGCTGCTAGGTGTAACAAAAAATATGTTTTTAAAAACAAAAAGTAAAAATACTTTATTTTTGTGCTGAGTACTTTTTTTTGAACCTTTTAGTCAAGAAATACTTTATGTAAAGCCTGAAAAGGTGGCAACCTTAGGTATGCTACCCTTCAGCTGCCGGTCAATCATTATAAAATTTTCGTATTATTTAACTTGGGTTCGCTCGTCAACCGGATGAAGGGGTTTGATGTGGGAGTAGAAGGGAGAAGAAAAAGAGAAAGCAATATGATTCATTACTGCTTACTCTCTCGTACTCATTGAAGGGTATGGAGTGACCTGAGTGACATATATTTGCCGCCTAACAATAGAAGTTCCATAATTCTCGACATGTATGAAAACTGTTCGCGAGTATTCCAAGATAATGTAAATAAGCCTCTGGACGATAGCCGGAGTTAGTTATTTAATCAGGTTGCAATAGAGAATCATATGGTGTGTAAAACTAAAGCAGCATGGTTAAGGGACAAAAAGATTAGTAAAAAAACTAGACGAAGTCACAATCCGAAGCCGGCCCCGTCCGTGAACTGGCAATGTAGTTATAGGGAAATTACGCTAACAATTAAGCAGCTACTCTATAAAAATTGTAAACAGTGACGATTGTGAAACGATTAATGAAGTAGATATCAAAAACTTACTACTACGTTACTATACGTAATAATCTGTAGACGCCCATTGCGATAAGAATTAATTAAATAGCTCCTTTGTTTATGTCAGATATTATGTCGTACTATTTAAAGTACACCTCGACATGGTATTAAGAATACAAAAGAAAAAATAATTAACGTTATGTAAACTTTAAGAGGTAAAGTAATACCCTGTGAATAAGTAATAGTAACTTATATGTTACCGTAAATGTATGAAATCTAGGAAATGTATACAATTCCGAGGCTATTTAGGAAATCTATAAAATATCGTTTCAAAGATTTTTTAATACACACATATCCTAGGAAATTTCCTAGGAATTGCATGAAATTCCGATATTGTACTAGGAAATGTATAAAACTAATGCTTTGTATGAATAAAATGAATAAAGCATGTTAATAAACTGAGAATCAGAGTTATCTGTGTTTGCGCAGTTCGAGTGCAATCGCCTGATGTATATGCATTGGTGACGTTATTGCTTGGTTAGGTTAGATTTGGAGATGTATATGCATTAGTGACGTTACCGTATGGTTATTTAGGTAGATTTATGACAGCCTGGAGTTTCTTTAATGCCCGTACCCTGATATGTTGGAATGATCTCTTCGAAAAGATTGCTTCATTATAATCTCCGCGTCCAACATTATATTAACAATAACGTATTATTGCCTATTTAGTATTACCTGTAATACATTTCCAATTGTTATTTAGGAAATGTGCCTAATATAATGTAATGTTCGTGGGTTTAACAAAATTAATTTCTAAGACTGATAACGACGAAAACTATTTATTTACATTAATTATTAAAGAACTTAAAAACACTATTAAATTATTACTAAACTTAGGTTATGAATTATTCTATTTATTTTCACTACTGTTGATATATCACTATTCACTGCGCTATTTATTTCACTGTTAATTTATTTCTCGATTCACTTCTGCAACGGTCAATTTATTTCTTCTCCTTTCGGCGATCGTCTCTTCCTTTAAATACTCTTTTGTTTACTTTCTAGAACCTTCTATAAACATCCGGATAGTTTATTTTTTCTTTAAACTGTTTAACTGCTTCCCAGAACGCAGGTACGATACACACATTTACAAATACGGCTCACATGAAGAAAGGTGCCCGCGGCTAGTCGACGAATCGTTAAGCCGTTCACGCACACGTGTGCCCGATCGCACACAAACACACTCGTGCTCGCTACAATAATTTATTTCACACACTTCCGGACGAATTGTATACAACGACGAATTTCATACATTTCCGGTAACATATAATACACCGTCACAATATTGCATTCCTATTACGCAATATTCAATACTCTACGGCTTGTCATTGTTTACTCTCCCTCTTCTCCTTCTTCCTTCTTAAATTTACTAAACCGTTCAGGTTAAATCGAAATAGTATTAAAGGAAATTCTATAACACAGCGCAATAGAATTTGTCAAAACATTTAATATAACCGAAAAGCACTTTTTTCAATAATAGTCGGTACCTAACACTTATTTAGTTTTGTGGTTGGAAAAATAAACTTGAAATATACATATTTTTACAAAATTAACCCTTCTAAAATGCAATGTGTTCATAATTAGATAAAAATATAATTTTTACTAGGTATGATTCAAAATGATTATTAAAAATGCTCTGTGATATCCACTAATTGTAGATAGTACATGTAGAAGTAATTACTTACGTTACATTACTTTTCAGTACACAGAAAGAAAATACTTCGTTGGATTTGATAAAGGAGACAATTTACGAAACGTGTTCAGTCGAAACGAATGTCCCAGTTTAACGTTATCTAACGAATATAAACGATCACCACTTTACAATACATTTGAAGAAGACGATCCCAACATTCAATCAGATAGAGCAGACATACCGCTGGTCTCAGCTTTAGATGATGGTGAGTTACACATTTTATAAATTATATTTTTACTTAGCACAAGATGTGTCTAACAAATTATGCAATACATTAAGTACGCCTAACACAGAAATCACACATTTCTTCAGTGCCGGTTTTAGCACTACCAGCGCCCTGGGCGAGATTTCTACGGCGCCATTCTACCATTGAAACCCATACGAAAAAAAGGGTATAATAAAATAACCATTTATTAAGAAAACTAATAATATTTTACTGTTCTAGCCTTTCTATCGGCAAACTCTTTTATTAAGACATGAAAGTCTATGTTTTCCGCAATTTCATTTTCGAATGACAAAGTTGCTAAGTTTGTCAATCAAAATTGAGATATTGTCGATCGCAGATAGGTTTTTATCAGCTGAAGCATAGAAAAACTCCTTTCCCCAATAGCCACAGTTACGAGTTTAGGTAGTCATCAATATTCGCAATGCTATTCATACATTTGGATACAGCTCTTTAAGTTGTGATCTTTGATATGATTTAAAATAAAGACAGAAATAATCACATTCTGATCAGGCAAAACTTCTTTGATATGATTTAAAATAAAGACAGAAATAATCACATTCTGATCAGGCAAAACTGATGAGTTCTTCGCACAACATACAACTATCTACCTATATCTGATTTAGAATCTACAGTTAATTTCAATTGGAGATCAGATCACTACAGGGTTTGAGATCTGGTTTTTCCGGAATCTTTTTTATATTGTACTAAAATGGTCAAGATTCCGAGTATTCATTTAACTGTTCAAATCCTTCATTGAGTGAATTTATGGTAGTGTCCAAAAGACAGTTTAAAAATTATTGCGTCACAGCTAAAGTAAAGACAATACAGAATATCGTATTTAGGAACTGAAATGTAACGCCAAAAGCAAACATGTACTTATAAACAGTTTTTCATATTTTTATTTCATTACGCGCTAGCAAAAGTTTAAACTAACATTCGCAAAAAGTTAGATACCTAGATACACGTTTATCACCAGTTGAACTCGCACTTGTTTCTTTTTTATTTACAATAGAACTTTCTTTTCAGGTGCAATTCTAAACGCCTTAAACAATCTAATAAAAGCGGTCAACAAACTCTCTGGAGACGTTCAGAATCAGCAAAACGTGATCGATCATCTGCGCCGGCTTATTGAAGAGTGCGAATTGTGTAAACAGCCAAAACCTATTCAAATACAAGCCACTTGTGCAACTCATCCGCCAGACTGCTTCCCAGGAGTTCGTTGTCATGATACTCCAGAAGGCCCTAGGTGTGGATCGTGTCCCAGGGGATATATTGGTAATGGCTACGAATGCACTCCAGGGCGAACTTGCAGGTAAATTAGATAATGTAACTTTTAAACTTATATACGTGGATAGGCAAACAAGTATACAAAATTATATAGAAAATACTCATCAATTAAATATTACTTTCTGAAATAGCTTTTATAAATTTTATTTAATTTACGCAATGATATTGAACTTGCAAACCGCCTTTAATACATTGTTTTAAGTTTTACAACTTACTTGGACTAATTTCAATAAAACTTATCAAGATATCCTATTTTAATATCAAGTTATAGAAATTTTCATACGCGATGACCTTAATCTGAACGACCACAACTATGCGAAGTCCCTTGTCGTTTGGTCTTCTGTTTTCCATTTAACTATGCCGATCCATCTATGGTGGCTCAAACACTCCACATCCAGGATATTCTAATTCGCTCTTATATTCTCGAGTAGGTCAATCACCCAGGTGTGCTCCGCTATGGAAGTGTGGCACGGCATTTTAAAAAAAATAGAACTCGACCCACAGTTTATTCTCGCGATGAATTCCTCCGCCAGAGTCCCCTTGGCATCTGTGATAAATCTCCTCCTACCACAACTGGCCTACAGGCATAGACGGTAGCCTTCTGAAGCCTAATCATTGACATTTAAAATTCCGACAATTTCCTATTCGGGGCAAAGTACACCGACACAGTTCTTGTTACTCCCAAATACGCTCCTAGTTAATTCATATTCTTGTTTATAATGAGCGTGCATGGGAGATTCCCAGCCTTAGACATGGTCCCAGCCCATTCTGAGTAAAGGCTCTGCAGTAAATTTATGCTCCACTGTTCATTTATGATCAACATGGCATTACGGAATCAAGGCATCTCCTGTAGGTCCTCCGTCAGGCCTTAGATCCTCCAAAGTTCACTTTACCTATCTCCTCCACAACTATACTTTCGTCAATATCCCTGACATTCAGGAATATCACCTGCTTATCTTGCTTTTCTCTTGACAGCCCGGTCGCTACCGAGGATCCTTCCCATCTCCTTAGCCTGGCTAACCCTCACTCCTGGTCTCCTCTACATGGTGGTGAGGGCAATGCAGCATGTCACGGCTTTTCTAAATCCAACTACTTCCGCGATCGCCTTGGTTACATTAACCTCGCTGTGGTGAACTTCTTCCTCCTAGTCTCTCAGAGCTTCAAGTGTGTGTCCGGTCTCTCCTATCATTACGTCAATCCCCCCTACCACTACCCACTGATCATTCCTCCTCGTCGTCCACGATATTGAAATCTTGGTAGTTCTTGCAGGTTCATTCAGTATTTTATTAATCTTCTCCGTAAGGCATTACGAATACCTTCGTTGTCCACCTGTAACCCTTTTAAACTGTCTAAGTCGCTTACCTGCAGTTCCGACTATATCCCTCGTTCTTTGGTTTCGTGAGAGTCACTCTTCCAATTGTTACTTCGATAACCGGTATGTAGTCGAACTCTTTTGTAATTTTGAATAGATACAATCCAGGTCGTGAGCTTTATCTTGCCAAAACTTATCCAAAATGTTGACGAGTCAAGAAAGCTCCAATATTAAAAATAATCTCTCAGACAACGGGGTTCTCCTTCCACTTCGGGCAAGCTTCTACTGAGTCCTTATAATCAATTGGTTACCGGCCCTTTCTTCCTTTTAGTAACAGCTGTAACATCACCCACTATTCTCAGTGCGCCTTTCGGCAACGGTTCAACTTCTTTACTACCATATAGTAATAATAACAGCAGGCGAATCAGCTATGAAAATATTATCGTCATCCAAGTTGTCTTTTGTTGTCTTTTTGTCTCCTTAGTAGTATAACCAAATTTGGCCGAGTTACCCCTTCATTCTCACTAACACTACCACCTTAGCTTACTTTTCCTGTATGCACTAACTGAAAAAGAAACTTTGGAGTTTGGACAAGTAGAACCTAACCTAACCTAATACAACACTAACATATCCTAACCTATTTCGGAATTTAACTAAGTAGAACACTTGAACAACAACTGGTAGACGTGAGGATTAATTAACCAAACTTATGAGCGACGTAGCTTCGACCTTTGGTTATAACATACACGTATGCACTATTCTTACCTTTTAGGATTGTTTAACCAAATGGTAAATTAAAACACCCACGTTTCATTGTCTGGATTTATTTAGGTCTCGTTGTAAGAGCCAAAGAAAATACAATCAGTTATAAGCTTGGTTAACCCCATTTTGTCCTCTAAAATTCACCATTCTGAAGACAAACTCACAAAACCCTGGGAAAATGATAATAAAAAAGCAGTCGCACTTCATCAAACTACTATTGACGTTTACCCCAATCACTCATCATTAAAACCAAAACTCTGCAGTATTCAACCATTTAAGTAAAAATTAAAAAAGTAGGGAAATTTGCCAACAAACGTAAATGCCAGAGGTCACATTGAGATTACTCTACGTAATACCTGTCCCTAAATTATTCAACTGTTCTTAGTTGTGAGGTCAAAAGTGTGTAGTCCCCTTTGAAAAAACAATTATGACCTTGAAATGATCTTTAAGTAATCGTGAAGGTCAAATCAAAACCACCAAGGAATAGCCAGGTCAAAAACATGTTTCTTAAACATGCACTCCTAGCCAGTTATTCTGCTATTCCTACTCTTCTAACACCTGCTACTTTTCTTTAATCTTTCATCTCTTATTCTTTTTTTATGTTAAAATTAAATTAAATTGAAGTCAGTTTTATTACTTTATGATACTTTCGAATAATCTGTATCATTTTTCAAATATTGTTTTCGAACTTTTCTTTTTCGTCTATCTCAATATTACAAACAGTCGATTTCAAAATTTTGTCTCTCGTCTCTATTCTCAGGAATGTTTCCCCTGATCTTAACTTGAATTTCTCAGTTTTACTGGCAACACAACGAAAACGGACTTTAGGTTTTCAACCAAAATATCTAAAAGAAGTTTTGAATGTAGATGCTATAGAAATGAAACTTGTAGAATTACAACTAACAGAAAATACTTGATGTGGTCACGGACAATTCCTTAAAAAAAAGTGGAAATCAATTTTTTTAAACCCGTTTTTTTTTGTACATCTATAGCCATATGTCGAAAACAAATTGAGCTGTCGACTTCGACCTTTTCTTTTGTTATAAAGCAAGCATACATATGTACAGGGTAGGCAAATTTCAACGTTTGTATAGGACAACTCTCTTTTTATAAGGCAAATTTACTGGTGGTTTGAAAAACTTTCTATCTTTTTTTTTCCCAATTATAAACAAAACTTGAAAATTTCGAGTTTTGTCTACATATCGTGGTTGTTTATAAAACAACTTTTACGTTCTTCTAGCATTTTTTTACATGGAATACAGTGGTGCTGGAAAAATTATAAAAAAATCATCCCGTTTCGAGTTACAACATAAACTTGAATTTTTTTAAATAGGAATCATAATTGGCCATGCTTTAGTTAAAAGGATAATATTTCCCTCTTTTCAAATATATTTAATATGTGGGGTCTGATTCAATTGGTAAGCATTTAATTACGAAAATAATCTTTTCGTAATTTACTCTTTGCATTTTTAGACTGGTTTTTAATCTGTCATCTACACATATGATAGTGATCACCCACTGCTTATTTTGAACTGCGTAGTGTTAATGTTTATTTTCATAATTAACTCCTGCAAAACGGTTTTTATATATCAAGTTTATGTTATAACTCGAAAGAGGATTAATTTTTCCAGTACCACTGCATTCTATATAAAAAAGTGCATGCGAAACCTAAAAGTTATTTTTTTCTAACGTAACAAATGACCAAGATATTGGCATGTAGGCAAAACTCGAAATTTTTAACTTTCGTTTTATAACTCGAAAACAAAAGACGAAAGCAAGTTTTTGAAACCACCAATAAATTTGTCTCAAAAAAAAAAAATCGAGGAGTCTGCATCTGTGGCGCTAAAAGACCGTCACTTAAAAACGCGTAGGAGTATTATTCATTATTACTGGTCGCATTATTGTTAATCACAATTTAGAGTTTAAAAAAGCAATTTATTTTTGCCATTGACGCACTTGAAACGAGGGTAGCAAACAGGTATTAAGCATTGTATATGACGTAGGTAGAACAAAAATATCAATTATCTAAAATCTCAGGAAAAAAAAAACAATTATGAGGTTTTATGAAACCAAGATGTAAGTGAAACTTTTCGGTTTGTAGGCATTTAACTGTAAATTTTCGGAAAATTATTCGATACAGGGTATTAAAATTAATATCGCTTTCTTAATCTTATCTTAATGATTGGAAAATGGGAAGGATAATGGAAAATCAATAGTATACAAGATAAATTTTAATTTCAATCTACGTATGAGAACACGGAATACATAATAAATACAATCATTCGGGTGATAGACGCATGTTAAAAACGGAGAATAATATTTATTTAAATCATTGAGTCATTGAATCATTTTGAACTTCAGTTATTCTATCAATAATTTCATCTTAGAGTTTCACAGTCTATAAATGTAATTGTCATGCACTTGCACGAATGAGTGAGAATATAAACCGCTACACGCTTAACTCATGCGAGCAATGGGCGCCGCCATCTTGGCCTTGGCTGCTCTTCCGAGCGCCTTTCAGTTTTACTCCTACTCTGCGGCCGGCTGTAATGCGACATGCGATAAATGGACGAAAAAATTTGAAGCGATGTAATAAAAGTTTCACTTTAATAAGGAATAGAATTTGTAACAAAATGGGGAAAGTTGTGGGGAAAAAAATCTTTTATGACTTGCTGCTTGTTTTGCCTTCTGTGAAATGTAATAGCTTTGGCAGGACCTATCATACTTAGCATCATGCGCAAATGAATCGTCTTAACAGGAAAAGTATATCAATATCGTTCCTCTTTTTGTTCGCATTTATAATTTTTTCGTACGTGTATTTTTCTGTCCCTACAAAAAATGGATTTAACCTTATGTCAGTAACTACCTGTTACTATGATTCTCAAAAATAAAAATATTTTTTACTTAACGCCGGTAGCGTAATTCGCTTTAGAGATATAGCAATATAGGCTATTGTCTTTGTTTAAAAAATGAGGGTTAAATGTAACTAAAACATTAAAGAGTTTTTATTGTTGTCTATGTTCAATTAACCTTATAATACGACAAAATCGTAGTGTGCTACTATTTAAAGAGGTACCTACGTTTTTAAGAGGTAAATAAAAAAGTTCACTTTTCACATTTTTGAGTTTTGCTAGAAAAGAGTTACCTATAGTGATAGGGATATATCTACACTATTTGTAGTTTTTTGATTTACAAGAAATTATTTAAAATCTTGAAAATATTGTTTCAGCGAGAATCCTTGTTTCCCGGGAGTGCGTTGTCGGGATATAGAATCTCCACCAGGATATCAGTGTGGTCAGTGTCCATCTGGATACGAGGGCGATGGCGAACATTGCGACAGAAGATCAGGATGCCAATACGAACCATGTCATCCTGGTAAGTTTTAAACCAAAGTAGGATTATGGCAGACAGCACATCGTGCGATTTTGGCAACCGGTGCACCCAAACGTAAGATCACGAAATTTGTAGCAAATGGAAAATATTTGTCGTATGTACATAATCTATTACTAATTTCTCCTGAATAGACCATCTGTTAACTTACATGTTGAGAAATTCTGTTTTCTTGAAACTTGCTGGAAAAACAAATACGTATTTTTTACACTACATTGGGCACGAAGCAGGAACAAATTTCTTAACAGTGAGGAAACCGTAACAAAATGTAGTACTTACCTATTTCCGCTACTTATAACATTTTACTCCAAACTAACACTGTTTTGTTTAACGTAGGTACCATAAAATACCGTAGGCCAGGTTACTTAACCTTATTTTATATTACAGGGTGCTTTTTAAGAATTTGTTAAATGGGTATTGCAAGTCTCGTCCGAAACTTTGTCAGCATTGTTGTTAGCAATGAATAACATGTACTAATCTTTTATTTTTTTTTTAAATACACTGTTCTAAAACCTCGTTGTTTTATTCTGCCCCTTCCTTCTTTTGTAGCAGCAATTGTAAATCGATAGTTTATTCTACGGTGCTGCAGGTTTTCATTGTTTCGTTTGTCCTTCCTTTTTTTTATTCTCCAGCACACATTTGCCTGTAGTGTACCAAATTAACTAATTTGACCGGTTTAATATTTAAATTAACGTTGATTGAAGGAAATTTGTAATTAGTTACGGAATTATTTTAAGTGGCATTAAATCATTAATCAGGTTGATGCTCTTATTCCCCTTTATTAGAAAATTAGCTTGAACACAGTTTTGGACTAGACGGCAATTTCCGTCGTTAGTTAAATTTGATAGATTATAATTCAATGTGCTGACCCTGCTCTTTATTATAGGGCAGAGATGTATAGAAATATCAGCTCCGCCATATTATAAATGCGAAGGATGTCCACCGGGTTTTACAGGAAACGGAGAACAATGTAGAGATCTAGATGAGGTAAGTAAAATTAAAATATTAATTCTCATTTAACAATGACTACCCATATAACTTAAGGAAGCTGACACTTGTAATGGTCCAATGTATATTTTTCTCTTTTTGTGTCGATGTTTCGTGAGCTTTATAGTTCACTTCTCCACGGCAGATCTTCACCTGATATGACTGAAACCCAAAGGTTCCGTAAAAAAAAAGATTAAAATCAAGAAAACGCTTTTAACTATTTCAATTAATTTGATTGAATACTCTAAGTACATACATTTCGACTTTCTTAGTCTTTTCAAAAGCAATTCATTTACTAAAGGAGAAGCGTAATAGGTCCGTATTTACGCATTCGATATGGAATGTATACGAGGGTGGATTGATAAGTTTCCGGCCTAACCAAGAGATGACGCCACTAGGCCTACCTTGAGGTGACATTCTATAGTACCATCCTTGGATAGCTTGTAGCTATAGTTTCAGCCCGATCTCCTTGCTAGTGTAGGTTTGACAGCACGCTGAACAAGACGCCTCTGTGGTTTTCGTAAAAATGGAAAAGCAGGAAAATC